AAATTATACTTCACTATTGACAACTTTGAGGAGGTGAGTTATCCATAAAGTGCTTTCTGTAATCCTTTTCGTACTAAAAGTGCCCCTAGCAGGAAATTTATGAATATTAGATACTTTTTAAAGACAAGTTATTGCACCATGCTCCCTCCTCAGGTTTTCAAAGATGTCGTTGTTCGTGACGGCGAATGTGTCTGTGTTGAATTGGTTACTAGAGACCGTTATAAAAATCAAGAAGCAGTCGTTTTTTTGGGTTCTATACGCTACGAAATCTTGAAACAAGTCTACGACACGAGGGTACTGTAACAGTGAACGCTTGTCGCGCTTTCCATCTATTTCATTTTTGGTATATTAGAAGTGTAGCGGCCTTTTGTTGGATTTTCTAAGCGTATACAATGGCAAATTTTCGTTGATCTCGTTTTTAATGACTCTGCGTGGCGTACTTAGTAATTCTTTTAGGCTTCAAAAACTTGGAATTGGGCACAGAAATTTATAAGCTGTGGTAGAAGATTGGAGTTTGTTCGAATGAAAGGACCACATGGCAAAGGTCTTATTTAATTTAATCTCTGCTTCCCAAGAAAAAATTTTTATCCAACGTTGGTCGAAGGAAACCTCTATTTTCAGGTTACGCTGAAATGGCTGTGGGACGCTTGCCAAATACCGGCTACGAAACTCCTTTGGATGAAGAGCCACCAGATTTTGGAAAAGTAGTTTACAAGTCTTTTATTTGTTTCCACAAATGACAGCGTATTTGTTTGTTAGCTTTGATCTTTATAGTCTTCACCTTCATAAAGTAATGTAGCATCGCTTTCCACGAACGACTCATTTTGTAAGCTTTTATTTATTCTTTCATATAGGTAAGCCAACTCGAACAACGTCGTATGTCAGAAACTAACCTATCTAGTTTGCCTTTTTTTTCCCGACCACCATCAACGCCTAGTGTCTCAAGTTGTTACTCCGGCAGAAGTCGTCGATGGCAAAGCGAAGCGGATACTGTAAACCAGTGTCTCGAGGTAGAAGCTGGGGGGATTGGTGACGGTAACTACTTTTTGTTTACCGAATCATTCTTGGAAAGATAAATGCTTTTTTCTCGTTGGTCTCGCTCCACATTGCCACGCATGGAGTACACCACGAACATTTTAGAGTTGGAAGAAGGTATTCTTGGTCGGCTTAGATCTGTCCGAGGGTTTGGACAAGCTTGGCATTGGTTGCGAGAGAAGCGCAGGAATGAAAGCACACCTTTAAATGTTTATCTCACATACATTACTTTACCGTGGTCTATGATACTTGATGGTTAGGAGTTAATCTAAACTGATTTTTTTTCTTTTCATGGGCCTGTTATTTTAAAGCGGCATTTATTAGGTAGAAGGTTTTAGATTTGTTGGCTGACCGACCGAGAAAACCGATATTAACGTTTGATTTGAACTTATTAGGATTCAAGCAGGATGCATAATCAGGACTACTCTAGAAATAAATTTGTTTGGATCTCAGCCAGGAGTAGCGCATGTATATACACTGCTAAATAAAGTCTTTGTCTTGAAAAAGTATTATAGGTATAAATAAACGTCTACTGTTTTCCCAACAAATTTCTTTTGGTTCTTGAACTGTGCCCGTTGTTTTTGAGGAAATAAATGTTCGGTAGCGTGTTCGAGTTGAATTAATAATTCCTTTTTTTTAGAAAAAGATTTTTATGTAAAAGCTGTTTTCCAAAATCCTTTGTTTTAAAGCAACTTTTGTGATGAAAAAGGCATAAATCAGTAAAAAATCAAATTTCGTTTCTGAGAAGTATTTGCAACAAATTAAATAGAAGTTCGAGCTAGGATGTTAGATGTTTCTGCCAAACAACACAGTGCCACTTGTTAAACGGTGGGGAAAAGTATGCTCAGCAAGGTTTTTAGAAGTTTGTAGTTGGAACCACTTGGGGAGGAACGAAGCTTTCTGAAATATTACCCTTCAGTCTTTTTCACTAATTAGATAAGTCAGTAAATGCATTTCAGACTCACCGATGTGGGACTTCTTATAGTGTTTGGTTAAATTTTTCTTATTATAGTCGTTATTATTAAAAAAAAGGCCAGCAGGCACTCACCACAGCGAAGGATCCCTGCGCAAGTTGCTTGTCCTCTAAAAGCTCTGAGTTTTGTAGTTCTGTGTATTCTAAGGCAATTTTGTTGTTACCTGGTAACTTCAAACATTGTTTTGTTGCAACTAGTTAGGAGGACATAAGCCTTTAATTAATTCACATTTTTAAGAACAAGATATTATCTAAGCATTTTTAAAGAGATGTAGTGATTTACACTGGCTCGAGAAAAACCGTATATATATATATAT